GTGCAACAAGTTTCAATGAATGGAAAACAATAGATAATGTATTACATCCTTCTTTCATAGCAGCCTGTCTAACGTTAGGAATTATTGAAGATGACGATGAATGTAATAAAGATATGACAGAAGCTGTGAATTGGATGATGCCTAAACATCTCAGGCATTTATTTGTTCTTATACTGATTCACTGCCAACCTATTTATCCTGAAAAATTATGGAAAAAATTTAAAGACTATGTCTGAGGATTTTTCACGAAACAATGAATTGGATATCAGTTATCAACTGGCTTATTCTGAAATAAATGATATTTTGATTAAGGAAGGAAAAAATTTGACTGATTTTCCAATAATGGATCAAAATGTCGTGATTAACGTAGTTGGTATTAATAAGATTGGCGAAAGAAATCGTAGATTACAAATTAGTAATGAACAATGTACAAAATTAAATGCTAAACAAAAAGTAATTATTCATAATATTATTGAAGCGTCATGTTTAGATAATTATACTGGAACTTGCTTTTACATAGATGGTCAAGGAGAATCTGGGAAAACTTTTGTTTACACTACCATTTACAATCTTTTAATGTCAGATAATATCACATGCTCTACAATGGCATATACTGGTATTGCTGCAACATTGCTGCCTCATGGAAAAACGGTACATAAAACTTGGTTTACCAGTTCCTCTGTTTCATGATTTATCTTCTAATATTAAAATACAATCTAATGAAAGTATGTTTTTAAAAAATACTAAAGTATTTATTTGGGATGAAGCTCCGATGGCTCCAAGATACGTTTTGGAAATAGTTAACAGAACATTACAAAATTTGATGAACAACGATTTACCATTTAGTGGAAAAATAATGATTTTAGGTGGTGATTTTAGACAATTACTTCCTATTAAGATTCATGGAACGTGTAATGAAATCTTAAATTTGTCTATCAAAAATTCACAATTATGGTCATTATTTTCAATATTTCTTTTTAAAACGAACATGAGAGTTATGCCACATGAAATTGAATTTGCTAAGTATTTATTGAATGTTAGTAATGGAACTATAAATGGTACAGATAATGATATACAGCTTCCACACCACTGTATACTACCTTCTAATGAATGCATTGTTCAAAACATTTTTGGAAAGTTAATTAAAGATAAAACATTTGATAAAAAATTTGATGATTAGTCATTGTGCTCTTTTGTCAGCTAGGAATGTTGATGTAGATGATATGAATAATAAAATTATCGATTTATTAGATAAAACTACTGAAAATATATACACTGATATAGACAGTACAGAGAACTGTGAAAATGGTGAAATGGGAGAAGTTCTTTTACCAGAATATCTTAACCCATTAAACCCACCGAACTTTTCTCCTCACAAATTGCATTTAAGAAAATTTTTTATAACCATGTTAATCAGAAATATTAATCTCAGTGAAGGATTATGTAATGAAACAAGATTACAAGTAATTGATTTTTCTAATCATTTACTGAATTGTAAAATATTAACTGGAGACAAACGCAATAACATAGTATTTATTAATCGAATTACATTGTATTGTAAAAATCAATATCCGTTCACTTTCAAAAGACGGCAATTTCCAATTCAATTAGCTTTTGCTATAACTATCAATAAATCTCAAGGACAAACTCTTGCAAAAATTGGTATCGATCTTCGAAGAGATGTTTTTAATCATGGTCAGCTTTATGTTGCGATGTCTAGAGTGCGATCATGGGATTCATTGAAAAGTTATTTAGGGAATCAGAGACAAATTTCGAATGTTAAAAAATATGTTTATGCAGAATTGTATCAATGAAATTATTTTTAACAATTTACAAATTCTAATTATTGTGTTATTAACAGATAAACGATAATGATTTAGATATAACATATTTTATATTGCAAGTCATTAACATTGGGCGCGCAAAGCGCGCTATGGTGTTCTAGTTTCTATAAAACTGTGCGCACGGCGATCAGTCAAAAGCTCAATCTCAACTGCCAATTCCTTTCCTTCACCATCACAGGGTGCGCGCAGAGTTCTGTCAGCGTCTGTCTCTTTCTCCTCTTATCTCTTCTCTCTTCTGTCTCTGTCTCTTTCTCCTCTTCTCTCTTCTGTCTCTGTCTCTTTCTCCTCTTCTCTCTTCTGTCTCTGTCTTTTTCTCCTCTTCTCTCTTCTCTCTTCTGTCTCTCTCTTCCTGTATCTCCTTGTTCGCCGCCCGACGCTTGTATTCGGGCTCTCCCTTCAGCCCGCCGTCGCTGCCGACGCACCTCAAGTCAGAAAAACTAAATCAATGAGAGTGTGCTCAACCGGCGCCTACTCTTAGCTTGGCAAGGTGCGCGGGTATTAGCGAGAGCTCGACGGAGAGCAACAGCCGGGCCGTGATTATCCGTTACAAATTATATATCATAAAAAAAAAATATGTATATATATATATATACTTCATCTATTGTGAAAGGAATTCTTACTCAATAACGCGGGAGACTTCAAGAGTACGAACAAATATAAATAATAAATGATTAGCGACATCACAATACGTTAACTCTCAATGACTTCATCGTCACGCAAGCGTAGCTCTGCCGCAAGGTTTTGCTCTTCCTCGCTTCGATGTCGTAAGGTCATCTTAAGTATTCAAGTTATTGTCGATGATAACGCTCGTTTTCTCGATCAGCTTCCATCCTCTTAAGTTGTCGTTCGTAAGTATCTAGTTATGTTCTAGCCTCATTAAGTTGCAAGAGTATTTCATGAAAAAGCGTAGATTGAGGTTTATTGACCGTCGGAGAAGCATCGGGTATCGTTGGTGAAACGCCGGCTACCATCAGCGAGTCCTCAACCACCACACGTGCATCAACCGCCAAGTGCCCAAAATGTTTCAAACATGCACACATAATAGTAATACATAATAATACAAATTATAAGAAAAAGAAACGAAAGCGTATTTATTAGTATAAACACAGAACGTGTTTCTTAGTCGAAGCGCAAAACACAACAGAAAAACAAACAGAACAAAATCAATAACCAAAAAATCGTCTAGCAATGCTTCTTTTATTTTATCATGTTCCAAAATACATAGGTCGATTGATAACAATATGTATAACCCGAGTATAACTTTCTAATAACAAGATAAATAAGTTGGTTTGTACAGTAGCTCGAGAAGGGAGCTGCTCTAATCTGAAAGCTGTATCTACGTTGATAATTAAACTGTACTTACGCAGCAATGACCAGGGTTAGAAATGCAACGATGCACTTGTAATTGATCAGAAAAAATTTCAACGCGAAGTGTGAATATCTAATTCGTTAAATACAAGAGTAAAATTTTTGTATATCTCAATTTCTTCACTAAAAGGATTCTACATCTACTGCTGGTAATCAGCTTTTTACTTGTGTCGCGGATTGGGAGACTTTGATATCTAATTCTCTTTGTAATAAAGATAAATGTGAAGACGGAATAAAATAACTTTTGGTTGGATACAAATTGGTTGTATACCAACCCTCCTTGCATGGTTTTCTCGCTTTGCATGTCTCTCGCAATCACGTTCAAGAGAGCTGCTTTCTCCATGGAAAACAGGATGTAATTTTATAGTTGTTGCAGGTCTTCTTGAGGATAGATACCGCTGGTCGCTAATGACTCTAGTTTAGTTTGCTTCTATGTTATTTTGGTAGTTGGTTTCAAAGTCAAGACTATGTTGACTGTTTTTCTCGGTGCTCATGTAAGGTTTATCCATTGGTTTCCCAATTTGTAATACTAGGGAATTATTGTGCTACAGTTTATTTCTGTTCCCACTTTCAATTGTTTTCATTTTCTCGTTCTCATTGTTCGAGAAATTTGTATTTCGCAAAATAGAAATGACGTTGAATATTTAACCCACTATCTTGGCTTTGATTTATTGCTGACGTTCTCAATAAAAAGCTTACGTATCAGAACGTAACTAATTAATTAGACGCATCAAGTCCGCTAAACTTGCTTAAGCAGTGATACTTAAAAAAGAATAATTGTGAGGCTAAATACAAAGTTTTTGTTGGTTGAAAGTAACGCATCGCGTGTTCGACTCCTCCGTTTCTTCTCCAGTAATTTTACACGTTGTATAATGTAGTATTTTTACCTTCAGTTTCCGTTTACCATCTGTTTTTGTATATGGCTCAGTTTGTAGGGAAACTATTTTATCTTACGATCTGGCCGAAAGCTTACTTGAAGTTTCGACGTGATCAGGCTTGCGATTGATAATTGGACTGAGAATATCTCGTGTCTTCTTCCATAACATTAAATGCCGCGTCGCCACTGCATCTCGATGTTTGTCTTGGTAAGAAAGGTATCGTACTACCAATGTAATAAGCCTTTTGTGATATAACATACTGATTCTAGTCGTACGTTTCAGGTATGTACAACCCGTGAGAATAATTTAGAATAATTTAGATTTTTTCGTAATAAAATCAATTTCAACTTATCTAGGTGGTATTTTTGCGCCGCTATGTTAGGCGAGTATATTGATAAGTAGCTAGATTTAAAATAATAGAAAACGCAATATTTATCATGGCATAGTCAACGTATACTGTTTATTTTATATTTAGTATCAATAAGAATATAATAGAATAGTATGGTATTCGATAGTTATAGGCTGATAAGATACGCAAGCATTATTTGCTTTAGTTCACAAGCGTACGCGAGTGTAGTAAATAAAAAAGGGTGGTACTTGTGTAGTAAAACCGAACAAAAGAAAAATTAACTCATAAATAATTTAAAAAGATTAAGAATAAAAACATTTTTTTGAAAAAAGGAAAATAATAAACTAATAATAATACTAAAAATTACGCGTTCCCTATTTTCTATTACGGTTGCTCTTTGATATAGATGTGCTCTTATTTCCAAACATTTTTTATTTTTACCCAAGTAAAAGTTATCGTGCTAAGTATGAGCAAAATCCGTAACCATAAGGCTTTACTTTTCCTTGTTAGTTATCAAAGTATAAAATTGAATTTAATATTAATAAGTAAATAGTTTCTTACCGATATCTCCTTCTATAACTGTGGCTGGCCGAGCTACAGCTGGTATTATCCTCTCCGTTGGTATAATTGCTGCTAAATCTAACTGCTCCGAAACAGTTTCAACAGTAGCAGTCATTATTTGCTCGAAGAACTGAAAAGGAATGTAAAATATCTGTATACACGCAGAAACATACACACACACGTACACGCACACATGCACACACGCACAGACGCACACTAATAGAGCTCCACCTACTCGCTTCGCTTATCAATCTCTTAATCAGGGATAAAAAAAAATATATATATACGAGGTGTGATCAAAAAGTAAGGTGAATTTTTATTTTTCTCAAAAAATATTTATTTATTCATCAATTTTTATTTTATCTCCTTCAAAGTAATCCCCCTCGGATATAATGCACTTATGCCAACGCTTTTTCCAATCCTCAAAGCATTTCAAAAAATCATTTTTTGTGATCTTGTTTAGTTCATCCTTCGATGCCGTCTTTATCTCCTCAATCGTGGCAAAACGCCGTCCTTTCATGGGCCTCTTCAGTTTTGGGAACAAGAAGAAGTCACAGGGGGCCAGATCTGGGGAATACGGTGCCTGTGGCATCGTTACTATGTTGGTTTTAGCCAAAAATTCGCGCACAAGCAACGATGAGTGAGCAGGGCCGTTATCATGGTGCAAAAGCCAATTTTTATTTTTCCACAAATTCGGACGTTTCTGGCGGATTGCTTCGCGCAAATTGCGCATAACTTGCAGGTAATATTCCTTATTTACTGTTCTACCATGTGGCAAGAACTCATGATGCACCACGCCCCTGCAGTCAAAGAAAACTGTAAGCAAAACCTTTACATTTGATCGGACTTGGCGTGCTTTTTTTGGTCTTGGTGATCCAGAATGCCTCCACTGGGACGATTGAGTCTTAGTCTCGACGTCATAACCGTATACCCATGTTTCGTCACCTGTTATAACCCTGTTGAGTAAATCTGGATCATCGTTGAAGTCATTCAGTAGCTCTTGGGCGATGCTCATGCGACGTTTCTTTTGGTCGAAATTGAGCAATTTCGGAACAAACTTCGCTGACACACGTCTCATGTCTAAAACACTTGTCAAAATTGATTGGCACGAACCAAATGAGATGCCAATATCATCAGCAATTTCTCTAATGGTAATTCGACGATTTCCCAACACTATTTTCTTCACTTCTTCAACATTCTCATCAATAGTTGATGTGCTGGGGCGTCCAGAACGAGGTTCGTCGTCGGTGTCTTCTCGGCCTTCTTAAGAAGAACAAGTGGTATAAACTCTTCGGAAGAGTTTATACCACTTGTAAACATTTTTTTGGCTTAAAGTAGACTCACCGTATGCCACTTTCAGCATTTCAAGTGTTTTGGAACATTTGATTCCATTTTTCACACAAAATTTAATGCAAACTCTTTGATCCATGTTTTTAGACAGCAGCAAATCGTGGAGCACGCAAAACACTTCTAACCTTGATGCCTCTCACAAACAAACCAAACATACTACAAAGCTGAAATTTGGAACGTATGTTCTAGACGAGTATACCGACATAACCAAATAAAAAAGTCGAAGATCGAACGGACGTAGCCCGCTAAATTTCAAAAAGTAACGAGAATTTTTAAATTTCGCGGGTTTGGAGAGTCCGCTTGTATAAAATTTTTTTTTATTATGTTGGTACACATGCCCCTGAAGTACGATAAAATTTTCAGCAATATTCATTGCTTACTTTATAAGTGGCAGCCGCTAACGCTAGACGTGTTTTTCGAGCTCGGTGATTTTCGTTTGTGAAAAAAAATGGATCAAAGAATTTGTATTAAATTTTGCGTAAAAAATGAAATAAAGTGTAGTAAAGTATGTCAAATGTTAACAAAGGCATATAGTGAGTCTGCTATGAGTAAAGCAAGGATTTATGAGTGGTATAAGCGTTTCCAAGATGGCCACGAAAACGTTGAAGATGACGAACGACCCGGACGCCCAAGCACATCAACAACTGATGAAAACGTGAAAAAAGTGAAAGAAATGGTTATGAACGATCGCCGAATCACAATCAGAGAAGTCGCTAATGATGTTGGCATATCAGTTGGCTCATGCCATCAAATTTTTTCGAATGTTTTGGGTATGAAACGTGTGGCAGCAAAATTCGTTCCAAAATTGTTGAATTTCGAACAAAAACAGCGGCGAATGGAAGTTGCTCAGGAGTCGCTAAATGAAGTCAATAACGATGCAGAACTACTAAAACGTGTTATAACAGGTGAAGAAACATGGGTTTACGGATATGATGTCGAAACTAAGGCTCAATCGTCCCAGTGGAGGCATTCTGGATCGCCAAGACCGAAAAAGGTTCGACAAGTGCGGTCGAATGTGAAGGTTATGCTCACTGTGTTCTTCGATTTTAATGGCATAGTGCATTATGAATTCTTGCCACAAGGTCAAACAATCAATAAGCAGTAATACCTACAAGTTCAACGTCGTTTGCGTGAAGCAATCCGAAAAAAACGCCCGGATTTGTGGCAAAACAATTCATGGCTTTTGCACCACGATAATGCGCCTGCTCACACTTCATTGCTTGTTCGTGAATTTTTGGCCAAAAACGAAACTGTAACGATGCCTCAGCCTCCATATTCGCCAGATATGGCTCCATGTGACTTTTTTCTATTTCCAAAAATAAAGAGAACATTAAAAGGCCGTCGTTTTACAAGCATAGATGACATTAAAAGCGAATCGCTGAAAGAGCTAAAAGCTAATACAAAGATCGAGTTTCAAAAGTGTTTCGAGGATTGGAAAAAGCGTTGGCATAAGTGTATTGTATCCGAAGGGGACTACTTTGAAGGCGACAACATTAATGTAGATGAATAAATAAATATTTTTTTCATAAAACGAAAATTCTCGTTATTTTTTTAACACACCTCGTATATATATATATATATATATACACTGCCGCTCACATAAATTTGGCCACCCCATCAAAAATCTGTCAAAGTTTGAAGTTTTGTACCTCTATAAGGAATCAACCGATCTAAAAAATTCAAAGTACGTTTTGAAGCTTGTACCAAGCCCTTCAATATATGATGAAAATATTTAAAAAAATAATGTTTAATTACTTTTTTATAAACAAATGAAAAAAAAAAATTTTCAATTTTTTTCGTCCATTTTCAAATTGGCATAACTTTGTTAAAAATAATCGGATTAAAAAAAACAAAATGGAGATTAAAGCTATGGTACTCCTCTTTAAAATGCGCTATGCAGAATTTCGGTTTATTTATTTTTTAGGGAATTTTTTAATTTTACGTAAAAAAAATCACATTTTTTTCAACAGCTCATAACTCAAAAACTATGAGTCAAACTAAAATAATAATAAGAGCAAAAATTATGCGTTTTTACTCAACGAATACGAATTCAACATAAAATATTCAAATTTAAAAAAAAATTTTTTTTTTTACCAGGAAATTTTTTACCAGGAATTTTTATTTACAATTATTTATTAAACTTTTAGTGAAATATTACATAATGAGTTATATGACTTATATACGTAGTATTGATTAAAATAAATAATGGATATTTTTTACAATCGGTATACAATCTACTTTATAATGGTATATCGTACCTTGTAACGGTTGTGATTTATCTGAATAATAAATCGATACTCGTGAACAAAATAAGTCACCGTCACTCCCACGTTGCGAAGCTAACCGTCGCTTCGTTGAAGGAAGACTTACCTCCCGGCTGTGGTGTCGACTGCTTCGTCGAATGCGTGCTTGACGCACTGCTTGCGCGGGGGAGCCGGTGGGTTTGGATGGCTAGGCAGAGGAGACACGTGTGCTTCTGCCCACGTCAGTGAACAAGGCGGCCGATTAATTGCGGACACCCTTTATTCATTCAGCAGTTTGTTTACATCCCGTAGAGAAAGAGGCCGAGGGCTTTACTGGGTGACGCGCCGCTGCGTCGCGCAATGACAATACGCGAGGTCTTACCGCAAGAGAGAAAGAGAGAGATAAACGGATCGATTCTCGCACGCTTAACAAAATGCAATGTTTCCCAGATAATTGTACGCCGGTGAGATTACTCACTCCTTCTCGATGTAGTCCTGCGCAAAACCTAGCTATCAACTCTTCGGTTGCCGGGCTCGTGCGCTGGCTTTCGTCGCCCAGGAGGTGCTTCCTTCTCTCACTTTGAATTTCTTCAACACTCGTTGAACCTTTTGTGATTTGGGCGACGGCACTCACTCTTGACGCACTTAACTCGATGCACCTGTTGGATCCAGCTTCCAATTCTCGTATCTTTGCACTCCTTAGCTCTCCTCCTAGGACTTTCTTTTCTTTTAATTCTCAGTTTTCTTTCTTTCTCTATTCTAATCCTCTCGGCAAGCCGGTTCACACGTGAATGTCTCTCGCACCTCCTCCCACCCCTCACGGTCCTCCCTCTGTTCTCTCCGCTCGCGCACGGTTTTCTGCGCAGCTGGCCCGCGCACGACATGCGCTGGCCCTCTATTAAGCTGATTTTTCCCTTAACGAGCCGGCTCGTTACAACCTATGATAATAGTAGTTCGTATACAATGAATGCACGTATATACATATGTATACGAACTACTATTATCATAGGTACGATACCATTATAAAGTAGATTGTATACCGATTGTAAAAAATATCCATTATTCATTTTAATCAATACTACGTTGCAACGGTAGTCGATTTAATTAATCGAACCGTTCGCGATTCTGCTTCTCGCGCGTTAGTTCGAACTATTGAGAGAGAGAAGGGGCGCACGATCATTTGAATAAGCAGTTACGCCTCAGCTGTGAACGTGAATTTACCGCCGATTTGTATTGCACTTTGTTTTCTCCGAATAATTAGTTTTTTGGGACAATCTCGTGCGTGAGTGCAACGGTATTTTCAACATAACCAGTAGCAGTAGAGAAGCAGCAGCTTTGTAGTTAATTTAAGGCAGATCGAGACAGCGCAGCTGATAATTAAGGGGCAGCGGCAGTTGAGATATTTTACAACAACAAATACGGCTGATCACCGTAATTGCACCGCATGGTAGGTGCACCTTTCGTCATATTAAGCGATACAAAATATATTTGATATTTTGTTTATTTGTGATAGCGTTATTTTTTGTAATCGCGCCGT